AGTCCTCTATCACCACCAAGGTCCAAGAGACCAGCTGAAAGACCTGACTAGGTGGTATAGGATGCCCATGACATTACACCGTATTTTTCCCCAAGTGTCAGACCTGTGCTGGTGATGTGACATGGATCAGGGCATGATGCTCCATATTTTTTGGACTTGTAGGCCATTTTGGAACGCAGTGGCTAGCACCATTAAACACGTGACAAATGTTGATCCAGTGGAGGACCTGGTTGCACGTCTACTGCACCTCATGGACTGTCCCATCAAAAAAATATAAAGACTTCTCTAATAATTCAACTGTTGAACACAGCAAAGGCTGCATCCCTTTGTGTAGGAGATTCGCTTACCAGGTCTCTTTGGTACTCCAAAATCAATGAACTCAGGGACATTGAGGAACTCATGGCATTTACTTTACATAACCAGGAAAGATTTTCTGGAAACCTGGAGACTGTGGCAATATTATGTTTACAATGATTCCTACCTGCAGGAGGAATCACAACCCAGTTGAAACCTCTGGGACTAAATAGCACTTGTCCCCGAGCGAGAGATAGAGAAAGAGACCTAGCTTTTCTGGTTTATCTATACTTTTCGATGCTATTCCAGTGTTTGGCACCATCTTTCCTCCGCTCCTTTTTTTCTTTTTTTCTTCATGGGCTACTGGCCCCACTCTCTTTATCCCTCCCTTCCTTACCCTTTCCTCTCTCTTTTCTGCTTGTCTTTCCCTATCCCTACCCCCCACCACATCTTCCATTTAGTAATTATTTAGCTTTATGCTGCCTCCTTGCCAGGACACCTGGAATATTTGGGGACATACTGCCTCTAAATGCTTTTTCTGGCACTCGGAGTCCCTTAGGCAACCCTGTTTTTTTTACCCTCATCTGCTGTATATGGTTGCATTTCTACAATTATGTTAATATGAGTTTGCCAAAGGCAATAATTGTTGCATCCCGCTGTGACATTTGTCTTGTTGGCTGTTAACCAAATTGAGGCCTGTTCTATTCTCATATGCATATTTCTTGTTGAGTACACTTTGTTGTCTAGCTGCTGCTATTGATAGTAGACTCTGTTTACATTTTATGATGCCTTGCACTTGCATAAAATGTATGATACAACTCTTGGAATTACAAAAAATATATATTGTAAAAAATATAATAGATGAAACTATGACATTTTATACTCCATTCTTTTTACTGCAACTGTGAAGACCAAAGACAACAATAAAAAGTCTCAGTGTAACACACAATTGTCCTTGTGAATCAATTAACGTGTTATGTACATCATGCTTCACACACAGTGCTAAAAACCTCTTAGTGTTGCTTATTTGCAGTGCCTCCTCCTGTGCATCCCAAATCAAGTACACTCTCATTGGATTAAAATGGCCTCTTATATAAATTAAGGTCAAGAGAGCTTTAGTAACACAATCCAAACTGCTCAAATCAACTTATATTTCCTCCTCTCCAGGGCCACAGATTTCAACAGCTTCCTATATGAGTACACAGATAACCATTTGTTAATGCACTCCATAATACCAAGGTCCTCAAATTTACTACTCTTCAAGGTCACCCATAGAAAAAAGATACTGACAAGGATAACTTAATTGATTACCATTGTTTTATAAATATTAGAACCATGTTAAAAATAAACTCACATGTTCTAGTGCCTCCCCAGCACCTGGTATGAGCAGTTATAATGTAGCAGGAGAGCAACGTTTAAATTCTGGTTATGAGAATGCGCCCAACAGGGGCGGACTGACAACTCATGGGGCCCCCGAGCAATAGGGGATCATGGGGCCCCTTGCCCAAACTCAAAGCCTATGAAAAAGGTACCAGGGGCATCTCATGGGCCCCCTACTGACCCCGGGCCCTCGGGCAGTGCCCGAGTTTCCAAATAGTCAGTCCGCCCCTGCTTCCCACTGACCAGAAGTGATATGGACTCAAACATCAAAGGTTACTTCAAATTAGGACATCATCAGGACACTCAGATTGGCTGCAGCCACTGTTCGAAAGAAAGTTTTCTAACATTGCCATTCAAAAGAAGTCGACCATTAGACTGACTTCTGTTGAGGGGGAATGGCCACATATGGATTGAAATTTGCCCAGTCACTGCTGAACCAGGCAAACTTTGATCCACCAATGGGCAGCTTAAGAGTTTCACTGAAAATGTGTGAAGTTTTTCCTTCTTCGGTCTCTAATTTTCTTGTTTCAGCTTAAATATGCTTGCTCGATCACAGAAAAGGTGGCCTATCCAGTAAAGGCTTCAAATGTGTGTTGCAAATATGTACAATTTTTCGCTTTCAATTTTCTTCCCTCTCCATCAAAAATTGCCACTTGCGATGAAGGCTTAAAAGATAAGTTCACCTTTGGGAACATGTTACATGTTCTGCCTGCAGCCCTCTCTCCGTGTTGTTGTAATAGTGGTACAGGGGAGAAGTTCTCCATACCAACTGTCACTTTTTGAAAACAGTGTGGCCGTGTGGGGCTCCACCCACACAGCCGTTTCATTCATTTACAGAGTTCTGTGAATGAATGAGCTACAAGACCTGACATCCTTTGCGGATGTTGGCTTGTAGTTCTAGATGAACTACCATGGTACTGTTGAGAACTGTGGTAGTTCATAGAGTCTTCCTGTCAGTGTACATTTGTCTGCCCATATGAGGTACGAGCAGACAACTTAAACGCACAGTCTGCTGGAGTCCTGCATGGCACCAACAATCTGCTGATCGCTGGTGCAATGCTTTCCATGTATAAAAAAAAAAAAACATGCAAAAAAAAAAAAAAAGGCCATTTATTTTATTGAACTTCTCCTTAAAAGGTGTGCTTCAATTGTATAAAATATGTGCAGTTTTTTTTAAAGAAAAATGTTCTTAAATAAAAAAAATAGGCAATAATTTTTTTATAAAATAAATTTCCCTGTTCTCTCCCTCTCAAAATGGCTACAAAAACTCTCCTGAAAAAAAATGAACAGCACAATTTTTCACATTCCAGTTTCAGAAAAAAACACATTTATTTCAGATAAAATCAGCCTATTTCTCCAGCTGACATTGCACCTTAACACAAATGGAGTATACTGTATATGGTCCATTAGTAATTAGCAGAACTGCCCTTTGTTTAGTTCGAGTAGGGTTCAGCAAACTTGGTCATGTGACCGCTATGGGATCACAGCTGTCACATGGTACATGGGGCCAATCACAGAACCATATTCCATGTGATCAGCTCTAGCCAATCACAGATCACTATTCTTTTGGACGTTTATGAACTTAACCCATTCATGACAGTTCAAAGCAAGCTTTGCATTGCAGGAGTAATAATCTTTAAAAAAAAAATTAAAAAATCCCTGATCACCCCCCCCCAGAGTAGTCAATGTTACTATGGTAATATTGAACTGCTCTGATAAAAGTATTTAAAAAAAAAAAGGAAAAAATTAAAACAAAATTTAATTAACCGCTTCCATACAGGGCACTTTTACCCCCTTCCTGCCCAGGCCAATTTCGAGGTTTCAGCGCTCTCACACTTTGAATGACAATTGCGCAGTCATACAACATTGTACCCAAACTAAAATTTTATCATTTTCTTCACACAACTAGAGCTTTCTTTTGGTGGTATTTAATCATCACTGGGGTTTTTATTTTTTGCTAAATTAACAAAAAAAGACCAAAAATTTTGAAAAAAAAAACCACGTTTTTCTATGTTTCTGTTTTAAAATTTTGCAAATAAATAATTGTTCTTCATAAAATTTAGGTCAAAATGTATTCTACTACATGTCTTTGGTGAAAATAACCCAAATTAGGATGTATTATTTAGTCTGTTGGAAAGTTATAGAGTTCACAAACTATGGGATATATCTGAAAATTGATTAATCCTGAAGTACTGACAGCCAATCTAATTTCTTGAGGTCCAAGAATGTCAGAACAGTACAGATATCCCCAAATGACCCCTGTTTGCAAAGTAGACAGTCCGACGTATTTCATAGCAGGCATGGCAAGTTTTTTGAAGTTGTAATTTTTTTTTGTCAGAATTTTTCGGAAAATGAATAAAAAAAAAAAAAAGATTTTCACTATTTTTTTTTCTTCACATACTGTCACCAGTGCAGTACAGCGTCATCATATAACTGGCATGGCGGTGATCAGGGACACTGACTTTTTTAAGATTTTATTTTTCATATTTCACAATGGCCAAAGTAGTATAATGTTACCATAGTAACATTGTACTACTTTGGGGAAGTGCTTAGCTGTGATTTTGCCACAACTAATCACATGACACAGCTGGGCTGTGATTAGTCCAGCTTGTGCATGTGCTCACTGTGACCATCCATTGTACACAACTGTCATGTGACCTGCTGTGATTGGTCACAGCAGGTCACAAGGTACTGGCAATGGGGCCAGTACACAGATCTGTCATCGACTGTGTCTGAGGTACACGGCCGGTGACAGATCGCGGCGCTACGCGGCTCTGCGGGCAGGCAAACTACGCATAACTGAAAGGACGCCATATGGCATCCACCCGGAGGGACGAGCTTCTGGCTATAGATACTTATAAATACAGGGCACTTATACCCCCTTACTGCCCAGGCCAATTTCCAGCTCTCAGCACTGTCACACTTTGAATGACAATTGTGCGGTCATGCAACACTGTACCCATATGAAATTTTTATCATTTTTTTTTGTGACAGATAGAGCTTTATTTTGGTGGTATTTAATCACCTCTGGGTTTTTTATTTTTTCTTAAACAAATGAAAAACCACAGAAAAATTTTGAAAAAAAAAAGTTTTAGTTTTTGTTATAAAATTTTGTAAATAAGTGATTTTTCTCCTTCACTGATGTACGCTAATGAGGCTGTAGTGATGGGCACTGATAAGATGCACTGATGGACACTGATAGGTGGCACTGATGGGCATTGACAGGCATCACTGATGGGCACTGAAAGGCAGCACTGATATATAGCACTGATAGGCGGCACTGACTGGCACTGTTAGGCGGCACTGACTGGTACTGTTAGGTGGCACTGACTGGCACTGATAGGCGGCACTGACTGGCACTGATAGGTGGCACTGATTGGCATTGATAGGTGGCACTGACTGGCACTGATGGGTGACACTGAAAGGCAGCTCAGATGGGCACTGATTTGTGGCATTGATGTGCACTGGTATGCACTATGTGGCATTGTGGCACTGATGGGCACTGGCACTGGCACGTGGCACTGTTCGGCTGGCACTGATGGACTCTGACAGGTGGCACTTCTGGGGCCACACTGATCATCAGGGCACACTGATCATCAGTGCCCTGATGATCAGTGTACATGTCCCCTCCGCAGAATGCCGATTACCGGCTCTCCTCTCCTCACAAGCTGTCAGCGTGACAGCTCGAGAGGAGAGAAATGCCGATAACCGGCATTTCCCTGTTTACATGTGATCAGCTATAATTGGACACAGCTGATCACATGACCGAGCCGACATCTTCAGCTCTTTCCGTGATCGGTGATCCCGTGTCCGAGGGACACAGAGCACCGCCGATCGCTGCGCTGCGCGCTCCCTGAGCCGCGCATGCGAGGTGAGAATGGCAGGACGTCATATGACATTCTATCAGAACGAGAGAACCACCTTGCGCCCGTCATTGGACTATATGGCGGGCGGGAGGTGGTTAAAACTACTTGCAACATCAGATAGCGTCAGGGTCTGTAAGCTTCCCTCCCAGCCAGGGTCAGCTAATGTTAGAATCACTGCCATTACTAGTATAGTGTTTGTACAGATCAATATATTGATCGCGAACAGAGCTATACTAGTGCCTCCTTTGTTTAGTGTCCCCAAAAATGCAGTGTTAGCAGGATCAGCCCTGTTTGCTTCTAGCACTAGCATTTAGCCCAGCCAATGTTTTTCACAATCACAAGATTTGTATCAATTGATTGTGGGCCAAAGCAATTTATACACACAACAGTATATCGCCGTCCACCCAATTCAGCTCTTGCCAGAAAATCTGCATGGAAACCTATCACGGTTTCTGAATTTAAACCTTTTTTGAGCCTGACCATCAACATGGGCATTACAAAAATGAATGAATTGTGGCCATATTGGTCCACAGAGCTGATTCATCACATGCCCATGTTCTCTGCTGTTACATATATGCCCAGCAAGGACAAGCAACATACTAGTACTATAGGCATCATCCTGCCTCCTATACTATACTATATATACATACTATAGCTATAGGCATCATGCTGGTATTTTTTTCAGCTGGTGGTCGGCTTTCATGTAAAAGTAATCCAAGCAGCTAAATTAACCGCTGTTTCATTTTTACAAGCAGCGGGAAGGTATGTTTCACCCCCCCATACCCCCCCCCCATGCCTTCCACATTTTTGGGGCTTGCCCGTCCCATAGAGGAATCTGAGAATGCAGCCAGCAGTTCTGCTGGTTGACAATAGAGTTAATTCTGAGACCAGAATGGCTCCAGTCATCTCTATGGTCTAAGAAACCGGAAGCCATGAGCATTTCATCATTTCCGTTTTGCCGGATATTAACACCATTTTTAAATTGAGAAAACATATGATCACACCAATCTTACTGTGATCAGATGCTTTAAGGGCAGAGGAAAGATCTAGAGTCTAATATACCCTATATTTCTCAAAAAAGGGTACCTGTCATTGTCTATTGCTATCACAGGGGATATTTACATTCCCTGTGATAACAATAAAAGTGATTAAAAAAAAGAAAAGGGACACTGTAAAAAAAAAAAAAAAAAACTAACAAATTAAAATAATATATCACCCCGCCTCCCTTCCCATGCTCATCCACAAAGGCGAACGAAAGCGTCGGTCCCATGTTGGTATGCAAACAGAGATTGCATCAATAATGTGAGGTATTACCCTGAATGTCAGATTGAGGGCAGTGATTTTAGCACTAGACCTCCTGTGTAAATATAAAGTGGTGACCTGTAAAGGCTTTTAAAGCATCTCCTATCAATATTAAAAATGTAAGCAATTGTCACCGTTGCATGGATGTACACAAATTTAAAGCATGTCATGTTTGCTATTGTCACGGTCCACACCCCCCATCCCCCTTGCCTGCTGTCACTCTGTCCCTTTCCCTTGATCAGTCCCTCCCTCCCGCATCCCCCCCTTGCGGAGTGCCCTGAACTGCCCCTACTGTGTGCCCAGATTACCCTTGCCTGAACTGCCGCCAATTGTGTGCTGGGATTAATACGTGCTCGGACTGCCTATTGTGTGTCTGGATTATCGTAGCTACCTGGACTGCCCCCCCGACTGCTCGAGCCATCGCTACCCGAATCACCCTATCATGGGCCGGATTATAACTGTTTGGACTCCCGACGTACTGAGTGCCCCCCCTCTTCCCCCCTTTTTTGGGTACCCGGATGCTACCTTCCTACCTGATTAAGTGCCTTCCATAGTTCAATAAAGCCTTGTGTGTTTTATCATCCTCCATTTGAGTTCTGTCCTGCCTACGCTTCCGTCACAGCTATATATTTACTCAGCGCAACAATCTTTTATATTTTATAAAAACATTGACAATATATTGTGTTTTTGTGCATTAAGATTAAAATAAAAAAAATTGCCACACCCATTATTTTATTCTTTAGGGCAATTGCTTAAAAAATAATATAATGTTTGGGGGTTCAAAGTAATTTTTATTTCTAATTTTTCTTTTTCATGTAAACAAAAAGGGTCAGAAAAGGCTTGTTATTCAAGTGGTTAGAAGAATGGGTGATGTGTGGCATAAGCTTCTAATGTTGGCCCTGAAATGCCAGGACAGTAGAAGCACCCACTAAATGAGCCCTTTTTTGAAAGTAGCCACTCCAAGCTATTTGCTAAGGGGCATTGTGAGTATTTTGCAGATATCATTTGTTGCCACAAGATTTTGGAAAATGAAAAAAGAAAATGAAAATGTATTTTTTTTCTTTTCTTCTTTTTCAAAACCCTGTGACAAAAAAGATATCTGAAAAAATATGAAACTCAGTATGCCACTCATCAAAGTCCTTGGGTTGTTTACTTTCCAAAAAGGGGTCATTTGGGAGGCTGTTTGTACTATCCTGGCATTTTAGGGCCTCTGTACTGTGATAGGTAGTGAGGAAGTGATATGAGAAAATAAACCCTTTGAAAGACTGAAGGTGGTCATTGGATTTGGGGGGCCTGTATGTGGTAAGGCTGCCAAAAAGTCTCAGTTTGGTATCCCCATACTCGAGAGAAGTTTGCAGAATGTGTTTTTGGGTGTTATTACCCTCGAGCATTCTCCCTCTACAAATCCGCCTTCCTCACCTACACCTCCTCCCTCCACGCCGCCAAACAAGCCTACTTCGAAACCCTCATCAACACCATCTCCTCCTATCCTTGCCAGCTCTTCTCCACTTTCAACTCCCTACTCTCTCTCCCCCCCCCCCACCTAGTACCTCACTCACCGCCCACGAGATTGCCATTCACTTCCAAAATAAGATCGATGCAATCCGTAAGAACATTGCCAATGCTCCACCTACCTCCCCATCTAGCCTCCCTTCCACTATAACCCCTCAAACTCTCCCCTCCTCTGACCTCACAACCGCCCTGACCCCCACCACCCTTAACATCGCACACTATAACCTCCCCAACACTCCGCTCCTTCAGCCTTAGGAGGTCACCAAGGTCTTTTCAGAAGCCCACCTCACCACTTGCCCCCTTGACCCTGTCCCCACACAACTCCTCCAGGCACCCTCCCCCTCCATCCTATGCTCCCTCACCCACATCTTCAATCTCTCCCTCTCTACTGGTGCATTCCCCTCCCCCCTAAAGCACGCGCACATCACCCCCATACTCAAAAAACCCTCCTTGGACCCCACTGACCTGAAACCTTACACCCATCTCCCTGCTGCCATTTACTTCCAAGCTCCTTGAGCGCTTAGTCTACAATCGCCTAAGCGCCCACCTCACTGACAACAACCTCCTCGATCCACTACAATCTGGCTTCCGTCCCCTACACTCCACCGAAACCGCCCTACTCAAAATCACTAATGACCTGCTAACCGCCAAAGCTAATGGCCACTACTCAGTCCTCTTACTCCTTGACCTCTCCGCGGCTTTCGACACAGTTGACCACCCCCTCCTCCTTGATAAACTACACTCCCTCGGCATCAGAGACTCCGCTCTCTCCTGGCTCTCCTCCTATCTCTCCCAACGCTCCATCAGCGTTACCTATAACACTATCACCTCTCCTCCTCTCTGTTGGGGTCCCCCAAGGCTCTGTCCTCGGGCCCCTTCTCTTCTCCATCTACACCTCCTCTCTTGGCAAACTGATACACTCCCACAGCTTCAACTATCACCTTTACGCCAATGACATGCAAATTTACCTCTCCACCCCTCAACTCACCCCTTCAGTATCCGCCTGTATCACCCACCTGCTGAACGACATATCAGACTGGATGTCGCTCCACTTCCTCAAACTGAACCTTTCCAAAACCGAGCTCCTAATTTTCCCCCCAGCCCACGCCCCTCCCCACCCTCTCCATCACGACCAACAACGCCACCATCAGTCCCACCCCGCAAGCCAAAGTCCTAGGTGTCACTCTAGATTCAAACCTGTCCTTCCAACCCCATGTGCAATTGTTAGCAAGCTCATGCAGGCTCCACCTCAGCAACATCTCCAAAATACGTACGTTCATATCCCCAGACACTACTAAACAACTCGTTCACTCCCTTATTATCTCACGTCTGGACTACTGAAACTCCCTCCTCACCGGCCTACCTCATCACAGACTATCCCCGCTTCAGTCTATCCTGAACTCAGCGGCCAGACTCATACACCTTACCAACCGCTCCTCTTCTGCCACCCCTCTCTGTCATTCCCTCCATTGGCTCCCGATTGCCCAATGCATCAAATTCAAACTACTAACACTGACATACAAAGCCATTCATAACGCTGCCCCAAACTACCTCACCGATCTGATACCCAAATACCACCCAACCCGTAATCTTCGCTCCTCACAAGACCTCCTACTTTCTAGCTCCCTGGTCTCCACCTCCCACGCCCGACTGCAGGACTTCTCCAGGACTTCCCCCATCCTCTGGAGCTCACTACCCCAATCCATCAGACTGTCACCTACCCTCCTCACCTTTAGGTGCACCCTGAAAACCCATCTCTTCAGGGAAGCCTACCCCAACCTCACCTAACTGCCGATCTCCTCCACTCCTCCTACCACTCCATCCCCCACAGCCACTTCCTCCTGTGCCACTATCCCCTCCCTCCTAGATTGTAAGCTCGAAAGAGCAGGGCCCTTGAACCCCTTGTATATGTGAGCATATGTGAGCAATATATCAACTTTGTGTAAAAAAAAAATATATATTATTTCTAAACATTTTTGGCAAAAAAATAAAATCTTCTTAGGACTCAATATACCTCTCAGTAAAAAAAGGTAATTTGGGGGGTTTTGTACTGCCCTGTCATTTTAGCACCTCAAGAAATGTGACAGA